AAGGACCAGTGTGTAGGATTTAGTGACATGTAGTGGTCAAGTTTCAGATTGCAACTAAATGAACACCGCTTGCGTCGGTATTTGACGACCTGGGAATGTTAACGGGCTGTGAAGTGTGTAGAAGAAACTACAGTGGCCACAAAACTCCCCAAAAATGCAAAAGGCCCTATTTAGATTTTATTTAGTGTTTGGTTTGTCCATTTTGGGCTACTGTAGTAATGTCTGTAGATGAAAATGGCTCATTCTAAGGTCATGAAGACATAACAATTCATATATTCATTTGATTATTCACTAATGAAAACATAGCTATGAATATTGTATTCCATTTCTGCCAGTACATCCTCCTGTATGTTACACACTGGACCTTTAATGTATGAAGTAACTGTGGATTAACATTCCTTAACTGATGATCTATTAAGTGTGAACTAATCACATAAAGTCATAGTGACTTGGTCATTTGTTAATGGTGAGCAACAGGAATCCAGGTTTGTACCCTTATTATTGTTGTTATATAAGAACCAGAGAGGGATGACACGAATCAGCATTTAGCATTCATGGACATTAATGACACATCGTGTCATGAATTCTGTACTCTGTGAGAACGGCTGCCTTAATTCTTCCAGTCAGTCAGGAGGTGCCTCCCTGCCTGGTCCGTGCTTGTCCCTCCCTTCAGTTCCCTTCATTGTGTAGTAGTAAATAACCTTTAAAGGTGTTCCTTTCATCTGTATGTCACGTTTGTCGTCTAGACTATAATCTCTGAAATGTATGGAATGATGAGTGTCTTGTGGTTAAGACTTAGGAATGGTTCGCCCCCGCTGGTATTATCAGTATTTAGTCATAAGGTGTGGAAGGTTTGGCTGAGTGAATTGAATTAAAAGTGTAAGGGAACAGTTTGGGCTGAAAATGTGCACACTCTGGTTCTGATACTGTCTGAGCTGAGATTAGTATGGGGCTGTTGAGTGTGTCTGTAAAGTCACTGTGAAATTCTTTTCAGATGATGGGACAGTGAGGTCTGCTTTGGTACATCAAATCATGTTCCAAAACACTACATACAGAGATATACTACATGGCCTTAAGTATATGGACAAATGAGGTTGACCACTGATGCTGGGCGAAAAGGTTGTCAGTGTGCGTTCCAGTTAGTCTTAACAATGTTTGAGTCAAGTTCTTCCACGTCAAACTGACAAAACCATTTTTTTAATGTTGAAACAGGAATTGCACAAACTGTCAAACTGTTTGAAGAACCACAGGATGCAGACAGAAACATCAGTGAGGTTTAAATGGGTGTACGTGTGCCCAGTGTCTGGGTTCTCTCTATTAATGCTACTTCAGTTTCACAGTCTGTACAGCAGCCTTCATGAAATGCTTTTGAAATTAGAGGAATATCTAGGGTCATATTGATGAGAGGATAGCAACTTGAAAAAAAGCTAATGATAAATCTAGTCAGAGTCAGTGAAGTTTAGCGTGACTTCATTTATTACATTATTTTAAACTTTGTATATGTGAATTAAAGTAGCTACAAGGAACTTTCATTCTGTGTTGAGTCTGGCGGCCCCTGAGGACAAAGGTGGTAGTGTTTCCACCACCTTATTTCCCAGGGGAATCCAATTCAGTGGCAGGCATTAAGAACAACTATATAGAAATAGCCAATCTTCCTGCTGATGCTTGTTTGTCTATGTAACACTGAGTTAATGGCTGTCCACACCAAGAGCAATAACTATAATAATAACCATACGTACAGTAACAATGACAAGAGGAGCCAACGCAAGAAGACAAAGACAACTTTAATTTAATCTTAAAAAAGCAATCATCATTAAGGACTACAGAGAACCCATCAGAACCAAAGACAGTTTGGCAGGATGTTAATGTATGATATGTTATAGATAGATACATACTTTATTAAGTAATTCTTCTTTTCACTCTTTTTTATTTTATACACACACAGGCTGATATACACACTTCATGCACTTGTGAACATGCAACAGGGAGCGAGATGGTGGAGTGATGG